AGGCAGACGAGGTGCTTAGGGACAGGGTTTAGTGGTGGGATGGCAGGGGTAGGTTAACGGTTGGACTTGATGATCTTAAAGGTCTTTTCCAACCTAGACGATTCTATGATTCTGTGATTTCCTAAAGGATATTTATTTTCTGGTGGGAAGCAGGATTCATCAAACCAGAAGCAGCAATCATCGTCCGACATCCCCTTCTGACTGGGCTGGGGCCACCTCCCACCTCCCTCCCATTTATTAGGTAGGGGCAGCCTTTAGCACGGACTCATCCCGCAGTGAGACGCCGTTGGAGGAGCCACCAAGCCCTGCTCTTTCACCTGAGAAGTGCAACGCCAGAAGCTGAGTGCCACAGCTTGGATTTGATCCCCAGATCCTCATCAGAATAACGTCCTCACGCCCAGCATAAGCTGTGCTCCCTGAGCAGGCGGGTATGCTCCCGAGGAGTTACATCCATGTTCTTCTGGTCAATGTCCAACAAGGCTATCGGGGACCCCCTGTTCAGATGGAGGGACACGCGCTGGCTGTCCCCACAGAGCACAGACCTGAAGGGGTGTTAGAGGGCCTCTCCAGAATACATCAATACAACACATCAGGGACTGGCTACAGGGACTCTGGGTCCTATTTTCGTAATTCCCCAATGCTGGGAGGCGAGTCCTGTCTCTCCACGTCAGCTTCTCTGCCAGTGGGGTGAGAATGGTGATGTGTGGCTACCTCCTTAGCAAAGGGAGGCTACTAAGTCTTGTTCTTTAGCACTTGGAAAAAGTTACAGGAACCTCACAATTTGGACGTGGTTAAGGCAGAGCAAGGAGAAAGCCTGGGTTGGTATTGCTTGCATTACCCCTTACTTAATGTGATGGCAGAGGACTTCAATCTCCACAGCCATCTGATGGACATGTTTCACTTGCAATAAACTCTTAATTAAAGCGCTACAGCATGGGAATAACCAGAAGCTCTCCCTCTAAAATGAGAACGGTTTCCTGAACACAAACCAGCTGTTAGCTCGAATGTAAAAGAGGGAGAACAGATTTATAGCAGCTCCGGCACAATCACAACTCACGTCCTCCAGGTTCAAAGCAGCTGCTCCTCCACAGACAACTTCTATGCGCAACAGATCTACAAAGCACCTGCCTCCTCTGAAGGTCCGCAGAGCTGCCAAGCACGCCCAAACCCCAAAACCTGCGACACGCAGCTCCACGGACACCGCTCCACCGGGAACCCGGGGTCAGGCAGCATCCCTGCTGCCCTGAACACCGCCACGCTGGGAGGGCTCCGGCACACCAGTCTCTCCCCTCCCATAGCCCGACCCCAGCAAGACCCACCTCTGGCTCTGTAACGCTAGCGGCATCTCCATCTGCACCACAGATGAAGGCGGTGCGTGCACCACCCCACAGGTCTGCAGGCACAGTGTCCCCTCTCCCAGGGACACCGATGGGCACGCAGCATCCCCTCCACCTGGCAGCCCTTGTTTGACAGTGGCTGATTGTTTTCTAGGTAACCCGCTCTCAAGTCTCAGCCTCCAGGCCCTTTGCTGCACTTAAGTGGATTAAAAGCAGCCCTTGACTGAGCTCAGGGTGCCGTGCTGAGTGGTGTGGTCAGCTCATTACAGAGGGCTTTGCTAGCACCGTCTCTCTGCGGGTGCTCCAAGTGCTGACTTGCCTTTGGGCTCACACGTCTCCCACCTCGCGGTGTGAATAATGTGAGAAGTTGTTTGATTAGACCTAGCGACATGAACGTGTCGTCTCCATCCCTAGCTGCTATCCCAGTTCTTGGGTCGCATCTGCTCCTTAATTGAAGCTGGTGGGAGAAAAAGGGGAGAGAAAAGAGAAAGGAAGGCTTAAAAAAACCGGCACGGCAGCCTACGATGTACTGAAAGCCATCTATCGCATGGTGGGGGGCTGGGGGGGGAGAACATCTTCCCTTCCCACACCGAGCGGTGCCTGCGTACGGAGCTGGGACAGAGGAAGGGAAAAGATCTGAAGCTGGACAAAGCGCTCCCCGCAAGGACAGACGGTGCAAGGAAAGCGCCCCCCCGGGCCTCACCGAGGGAGCCTCCGGGGCTGGAAAAGGGTCACAGAGGAGCAGGGCTGGGAGAATCCCGGTGCTTCCTTAGGTCACAGGAACAGCAGGGCAGCCAAGGATGCAGCAGGTATTTAATCTTCTTCAGCTGGAAACGGGATTTACTTGGGCTGAGAGAGTTGGGCTTGTTCAGCCTGGAGAAGAGAAGACTGAGAGGGGACCTCATCAACACCTACAAATATCTCAAGGGTGGGGGTCACGAGGATGGAGCCAGACTCTTCTCAGTGGTGCCCAGCACCAGGACAAGGGGCAATGGGCACAAACTGAAACAGAAGAGGTTCCAGTTGAATATGAGGAAGAACTTCTTGACTTTGAGGGTGATGGAGCCCTGGCCCAGGCTGCCCAGGGGGGGCTGTGGAGTCTCCTTCTCTGGAGATATTCAAAGCCCGCCTGGACGATGTCTTGTGCCCCCTGCTCTGGGTGAGCCTGCTTGAGCAGGGGGGTTGGACTGGGTGATCTCCCAAGGTCCCTTCCAACCCTTGCCATTCTGGGATTCTCTGATTTACACTGGGACAGGCTCTGGGTCCATGTTACCACCTTGCGAAGGGCATGTCTGAAAGTGCCTAGAACGGTAAAGACTGATTGCATTTTCTCCTCCTGCCTCTGGCACTAGGGAACACCCAACGAGCATTAACTCTGCAGGTCGTCCTGGAGCCCCTGGGTTTTCTGGAGAGAGCAGTGAAGCAGGTTCCTCCCATCCCTGCGAAGGACGCGTGCAGTACCACAGCAAGGGGCAGCCGCTGCTGAAGGCTGCCGGTGGGTATGAAAGCAAAGAAAGGTCAACAGCAATTACAGAGCCAGACATCAGCTCTGGCCTCCAAGGCCCGCTGGGGAGCTCACGCTTGTTCGAGTAGTTTACACACAAAAGGGAGACCGCCACCAAGGCAGGGATTCAGACTGCAAATCTTAGCAGAGAATAACACAGCCTTTTTCATCCCTGGCTTAAATGCAAAAGAAAGCTTGTTTAAATGAGCTGGTGCTCCCGCTCCCCAGAAGTGGGAACTGAAGGGCTCCCGTGCGCCTGAGACGGTGACTGGCTTTGAGCAGCGACCCCCAGCATGACTCCGGTGCAGACGCTTTTAGGGAGCCTCAGGAAATGGTAACAGACGATAGGATGAGGGGGAATGGTTTGAAGTTGCGCCAGGGCAGGTTTAGGCTAGACATTAGGAAAAACTCCTTCACCGAAAGGGTTGTCAGGCTCTGGAATGGGCTGCCCAGGGAGGTGGTCGAGTCCCCATCCCTGGAGGGATTTAAAAGCCGGGCAGACGAGGTGCTTAGGGACGTGGTTTAGTGGTGGGATGGCAGGGTTGGGTTAAAGGTTGGACTCGATGATCTTAAAGGTCTTTTCCAACCAAAGTGATTCTATGATTCTAAATGACAATGATTTTCCAGGTGCCTCTCATCCCCAGGGAGAAGCAGCGTCCCTGCTGGCTGTACGGGAGCTGCTCTCTCTGTGCAGTGTATCCGGCTCTTCCAGCTCACTAAGCTGCTCTTTGGGGAGCTTGGGTAGCAAGCCCGGTTTTTAACCCAGTTCCAAAGGAGGGCACTTGTCCAGAGGCTCCTCAAATGCCTTTCTGTGTCTCCCCTGAATTCCAGCGCATGCTGAAGTGCTCCGTTAAGCAGCAGCCACGCTGCAGGCAGCTACGCTTACAAGAGGGAGGTAAAAAAACCTCTCTGTGTATACAGGGCTCCGGGATCCCCTGGTAAGAAACACAGCAAACAAATATAGACGATTACTGTTTTCTCTCGGCACACAGCTTAACGGAGCCAGCTGTCAGGGGGAGTGACGACAGGGGTGAAGAGGGCAGCGTTGAAGGAGCAAGGCTCTTCCAGCAACCTCGTTAAGATGCGGCTGCTGTGAAACACAAGGCAGGGCAGCCTGCCTTCGCAGCAGAATCATCGTGCAACAGGAGAAAACATAATCACTCACCTGCTTGTTAGGAGCGAAATGCAATCAGCCGAACACAGGCAACCTACTCCCGCGTGCCAGGCACCCTAAAGCAAAGCCGGGCTGCAGGCGGCTCCCTTGCTGTGAGCCGGAGCAGATGCTCCGCTCCGACGGGTTGCTAAGCCAGCATGGTGTTCACGATGATGAAGGGCGAGAGCAAGGGAAGTGCAACAGAGAAATGTGAAGTGTCAAGGGGTGTTGCTTTGTGCCCCGATAACCTCGCATTTTCTTGGTTTCACTGGAAATAACCAGGAGTGAAATGCTCGTTCTGCTGGGTGAGTGAGAAGTGCGCTGATCGCTGAGCTGTGGTCAAGTCTGTAAGCATTTAAGCCTGGTTTTATTTTAGCCTTGAGGAAGGGAGGAGCGTTCTTCCGTACAAGAGCCAAAGTGCTTGCAGGAGAGACCACGGTCTCCTTGCACTGTTACTGAGCTGCCCTGCCCAGGCACA